GTATATATATATATATATATTATTTATTTTTTTTTATTTATTTTTTTTTTTTTAAGAAAATTTAAAACGCACTGTAATAACGGTTTTCAAAAATAAAACTTTATTTTTGGTGACTTCCATGCCTAGATAAGCATCTGATGGTATTTTTTTTTTACTCTCATTTGACACTTAACCAGTGTTATTTTTGGCCGAGATATACTTCCAATTTGAGAGATTTGTATCCTGACAGTAACACGCCTGTAGATCGGTGAGTTCATCTCAGAGGTTATTCCCTGCAGTGCTAAGAATCCATATTAAAAGCACATTTTCCTTCCTCCAAATAATGAAAGTTGCCTGACACATGATGTTTCATAAATAAACTGTGCAAATTAGGTGAGGATAGCGGTTGGTAATGTGCTCTGCCATTAGCTGAGCGCTGGGCACGGGCATCACTGAACGTCGGCGGTGCTGATGGGGTGAGAGGAGTGGGAAGACATGAGAGTGGGAAGGCCTGTTTTATTTATCCGATTGGAATAAACACGGCTCTGGCAGCATCTACATCATCTCTGGCAGCTGTGGTCAGTGCAGTGCGTTAAACCCACGGGCCATGACGGGACAAACACCCCTGCATAAATACAGCGCCAAAATGCTTACACCCGCAAATGCATATGCATACATACATACGGGTTTCTGCCCTGACGTGTGTGCATACATCAGCTTTTGTCACCTCTCTCTCTGTCTTTTTCTCTCTCGCACATAAGCAAACATAAACACAGGCTGAGCCGCCCCCTCACGCGTCTGTGTCCGTTCTCCGTCTCTGTTCCACATGCTAACATGAGCATATCCTCATGAAGATGAGCTGCTTTCTGCCGTCTCGGGGAACCTCCTTTGAAGTTGGGACTTTTTAAGAAAGTGCAGTGGTACATTCATGTGGATTAATGAACCGCTCTCCACAGCTAATGACCACTAAATCAAAGCACAACAGCTACCGTTCAACAGCTTTCTGTTTTCATGTAACGCATGGATCATTTTGAAACATCAAATCAATCAAGATTAAAGACGTTCATCCATCTTTTTGATAGATTGCTTAGTTTGTCGGACTTTATTACACAACTCTCTGGAATACTTGATTCTGATTGCTCAGTTGCGGCTTTCTGTGATCAAATGTTTTTATTATATAATATTTTTATAATAGAATAATTTTTATGTATTATGCACATTGCTATACATATCAGATGGATTATTTACAGTGAGCAGGTGTGCTTTATCTTGGGGCTTGGTTGGGTTTGTTTGACGATCATGACCAGCTGACTTTATATTATCCCTTGTGTGCAATTAGAAAAAATGCATATCTTATATTTACAATTGGACCTTTTCTTCCATAAGTTGGTTAACCTGATCACAGTGTTATTTCAGTATTATTCTATTATAGGTAACACTTATAAGTATACAATAATAAAGTACTAAAGTAACATCATTAACAAACTATTAGTTTATAGTTTATTCATAGTTTATAACTGTAGTTAATACATTAATTAATAGACTATACAAATAGTTGGTTCTTCATTATCACTGTAATTAACACGATTATTATTGTTTAATTAGCTCATAGTAAAGGAATTGTTAATTTAATAAGGAGTGAATAGTTCTCACTTTAGATTAGGTCACGGAAAATGGGAAAATGTCATTAATTAAGTGTTTTAAAACAACCTTTATTGAACATTAATTGCATTCATATTCACTGTCCCTTAAAATGTTTACAAATACATTAAGTACACACTCACACACACATGTTGGCATATGTGGTTTACAGGGAACCTCCATAGGCGTAATGGTTTTTATACTGTACAAACTGTATATTCTATCCCCTAAACCTACCCATCACACAGAACTCTCTCTCTCTCTCTCTCTCTCTCTCTCTCTCTCTCTTCCTCTCTCTCTCTCTTTAAGAATAACATTTGTTGTTTTTGGAGTGTGACAGAGTCTTGCTTCATTCACTTTAACTAAATGGAAAAGAGCAGCAAGTGGTGGCGCAAAATCACGGGTTTAGAGCAAAATACAGGTGATTTTCATTTTAGGGTCAAATGGTTCTTTAACATTCTCTGTCTGCCAATAACATGCCACATTAGGTAAAAAAAAATAAAAAATAAAAGAAAAACAAGGATTTTTTATGGAGATTAATAGTAAAGCAGTGGGTGGGTTTTGTAGCGTCTGGGAGCGTCGACTGAATTACAGCACCGCGGTTCATTGAATTTACTAGTTTGCGGCCTGGGGGAGAATCTCACTCACTGGGGCAATCACAGCCCGAACTGTATCCTCATTGGGCCCAATTAGCACCCTCAGCGTCACTAATGGCTGCCAGAGAGCCTTTTAGTCTCCAGGCTGTTACTGACACTTCTCCTCATCTGCGTATGAAAAGGAGGCACATTTTTCAGGGAGTTAAATATGCTTTTAAAGTGGAAGTGAAGCAGTCAGTCAAGGTAACAGTATTTAGAACAATAAAAACAATAAAAAACACGATTAATGTAACCATTTTAAAGAAAAAAGGATGTTTTGTTATAGCTTTTGGAGCAAGAGTGTTGCCATCTTGCAGTACCACAGCATGTGACGTCACGGGGTTGGTTCGCTCCATTGGCCAGTGCAGTAATATAAGCATTTCTTTACTTTTTGAACTCACAAATGTTTTTGAAATGGAGGAAGACAAACTTGAAAGGACTGTTGAGCCCATAATAATTGCAATTGCTTATGCATTTGAGCCGATTCGGTGAGGAGACTGAGCAGTAATACCATTACAGGTGGAAGAAGTCGTGAACCTGCTGGTTTGGGGTGAAGAGCGGGTGGGAAACAATACGTGTTTACATGAATACTTGTCAAAGCTGCCATTCTGACATAATTTTGTATGCATTTGCTCAAGAAAATGTGAAAGAGAACTCAATTTGGTACTTGCGTGCTGTCTGAGCTGTGGCTTTTTGTGTGCGTGCGCACAGAAACGAATTATCACAGCGCGCGAGTACCGCATTGAAAGCTCTTTCGTGCTGTCTCGTGCTTGAATGGCTTAAAACACTTTAATGTTTAAATTGACAAGACTTAAAACACGTGAGAATGATAAACTTTCTTGAGGAAGCAGCACTAGCCCAATCGTTCGGATCAATCTGATTAGATTTATCGTCCTGTTAACATGCAGCAGGTAAGCTAATTGTATGGGTGAACATAAAATACATGCCACTACTGGTGAACGAGCCAGTGTAATGCAGATATGTCTGAAAGGTCTGCCATATCAATAAAGATGCCACATGAATGATATTGAATGAAGCGTTGTTTGTTTACATCACGTTGCGCCTCGCGTTATGAAAACAATGTTTGGGATACCACAATCAAAACTTAGTGATGTAGACAGTTTGATGTTGGATATTCATTAAAATTATGTTGAAAACCAAAAACATTTGTGTGTTAAAATAATATTTGTGTCTTCAAAAAGTAAAGGAATGCTTGTATTACTTCACTGGCCAATGGAGCGAACCAACCCTGTGACGTCACACGCTGTGGTACTGCAAGATGGCGACACTCTTGCTCCAAAAGCTATAACAAAACATCCTTTTTTCTTTAAAATGGTTACATTAATCGTGTTTATTGTTTTTTTATTATTAAAGTGGGAATCAGTTTACTAAATAATGTAAACTTGACTGACTGCTTCACTTCCACTACATGCAAAATCACTACATGCAAGACACTACATGCAAAGACACTACATGCAAAATCATTTTGAGATTTTGGGCTATTATATATTTGTTTATGATGTGTTGTTTCAGACTAGTAGAAAGAAAACAACCAAAAAACACGTTTAAGTGTACTTTATCCATGCACTTTATCCATTTGTGTCTGTAGATTTCAATTACAGTTTTCCATTGCATACCAAAAGTAACAGAGCACCCAGAAATAAAGCCAGCCACACTTGATGTTTTTTGGAAACTCTTGCCGTTTGTTTTGTGATACGGTTCACACAGTCCATGAATAATCTATGTGCTGTTTATGGTTCACCGAGAGCATTGTTGCATGTTTCCAATAATTTGTCTGTCCACACTGAATGACGTGACAATCAAAGCCGAATGGAACATATTGGATGGTTAATATACAGCCGTTTGCATCAGTGCATTTTACTGTGGGCGGGGCTACAAAGGCACTCACCAATGAGCCAAAAAAGCTAATATTTCTTGACTGACATCGTTAGGAAAACCCAGAATATTAAAATACTTATAGCCTTGATAGAGACTTGTGGCATTGAAGGGTGCTTTTTAATTTACATGTATTGTATCACATTGCTCTCTTGAAAGAGGCGATTTACTGATCTTTGAAATGTCCCTTCAGCGGCCTGTTTTGTTGGCTGTATATGTCAATAAAATGACTGATTAGTCCGATAACCATCTGGTTTTCTGTTGCAGGGCGGAGATGGTGCTGGGCAACATCATCAAGAAGAAAGGATGGAGGTATGTTCATTAACAGCATACAGCTTTTCGTTTCCTTCAGCCGTCTCTTATCTTGTGCTGATAACTCGGCCCAGTGCCTCAGAGATTGTGTCATCGCAACCCCAGACAGACAGAAATATAAATTATTAAAGGCCCGTAGATGTCCCATCTAGATATTGAATTATGAAAGGGTTGCATGGGTGTGTTTGTGGTGCATCTGATGTCCTGATATATTTGTGTGTAACATAACACGAGCTAAAGGAAGTTCATGGTTAATAGAAGCCCTTTTGTTAAGATGTTTTAATTTAAAGCAGGGTGGGCTCTCACTGTTTTTGCATAATGAGATGAAGAGGAACCAAGCTCTCTGCAGGAAAAGATCTTCACATTTTTTGTGTGTGTGTGTGTGTGTGTGTGTGATAGCGTGCTGCTTAGTCATCCTGCTAGTCAGTGTGCATCAATATCAGGGCACACAACCCCTCACCTCTGCAGAGACATAGTTTATTTCTGTCCTCTGTGTGTGGGCTTACTTATAGTTTGTGAGAGGAAGTGAGCTACAGTAAATCTGATAAATAAAGTAAATCTTCCCTTTGAGGAAGGATATTCTTAATGGTGTGTATATATACAAATTTGTAAAAATATATAATACATACAGTGCTGGGTAGATTACTTACAAATTGATTACTTTTGACCTAACTCGTTTATCACATAGACTTGAATGGGATTATTGTGTACCATAATGATAAAAAAAAAAAAAAAACTGTACTATGTCCTCATTTAGTCAGCTAAATAAACCTGTATGTGAATGTGTGTACATGCATTCCTTTGAAATTAAAATGGTTACCGCAAGCTATTATTCTGTTGTAATTATTTGCAACTTCTTAATTACTTTTTAAAAGCCTTTCAAAAAGTGTGACCTAATTAAAAACTATTTTCCTTTTTTTGCAGACGCTCCAGTTTAGTCATAACAACCAAAATATTTTGGGGTGGAAAGTATGTATATTTAATATGAATTATAAAATGAATGGGAACCTCCTTTGAAGTTGGGACTTTTAAGAAAGTGCAGCGTACATTCATGTGGATTAATGAACCTCTCTCTGCAGCTAATGACCACTAAATCAAAGCACAACAGCTACCGTTCAACAGCTTTCTGTTTTCATGTAACGCATGGATCATTTTGAAACATCAAATCAATCAAGATTAAAGACGTTCATCCATCTTTTTGATAGATTGCTTAGTTTGTCGGACTTTATTACACAACTCTCTGGAATACTTGATTCTGATTGCTCAGTTGCGGCTTTCTGTGATCAAATGTTTTTATTATATAATATTTTTATAATAGAATAATTTTTATGTATTATGCACATTGCTATACATATCAGATGGATTATTTACAGTGAGCAGGTGTGCTTTATCTTGGGGCTTGGTTGGGTTTGTTTGACGATCATGACCAGCTGACTTTATATTATCCCTTGTGTGCAATTAGAAAAAATGCATATCTTATATTTACAATTGGACCTTTTCTTCCATAAGTTGGTTAACCTGATCACAGTGTTATTTCAGTATTATTCTATTATAGGTAACACTTATAAGTATACAATAATAAAGTACTAAAGTAACATCATTAACAAACTATTAGTTTATAGTTTATTCATAGTTTATAACTGTAGTTAATACATTAATTAATAGACTATACAAATAGTTGGTTCTTCATTATCACTGTAATTAACACGATTATTATTGTTTAATTAGCTCATAGTAAAGGAATTGTTAATTTAATAAGGAGTGAATAGTTCTCACTTTAGATTAGGTCACGGAAAATGGGAAAATGTCATTAATTAAGTGTTTTAAAACAACCTTTATTGAACATTAATTGCATTCATATTCACTGTCCCTTAAAATGTTTACAAATACATTAAGTACACACTCACACACACATGTTGGCATATGTGGTTTACAGGGAACCTCCATAGGCGTAATGGTTTTTATACTGTACAAACTGTATATTCTATCCCCTAAACCTACCCATCACACAGAACTCTCTCTCTCTCTCTCTCTCTCTCTCTCTCTCTCTCTCTCTCTCTCTCTCTCTCTCTCTCTCTCTCTCTCTCTCTCTCTCTCTCTCTCTCTCTCTCTCTCTCTCTCTCTCTCTCTCTCTCTCTCTCTCTCTCTCTCTCTCTCTCTCTCTCTCTCTCTCTCTCTCTACACAGAACTCTCTCTCTCTCTCTCTCTCTCTCTCTCTCTCTCTCTTCCTCTCTCTCTCTCTTTAAGAATAACATTTGTTGTTTTTGGAGTGTGACAGAGTCTTGCTTCATTCACTTTAACTAAATGGAAAAGAGCAGCAAGTGGTGGCGCAAAATCACGGGTTTAGAGCAAAATACAGGTGATTTTCATTTTAGGGTCAAATGGTTCTTTAACATTCTCTGTCTGCCAATAACATGCCACATTAGGTAAAAAAAAATAAAAAATAAAAGAAAAACAAGGATTTTTTATGGAGATTAATAGTAAAGCAGTGGGTGGGTTTTGTAGCGTCTGGGAGCGTCGACTGAATTACAGCACCGCGGTTCATTGAATTTACTAGTTTGCGGCCTGGGGGAGAATCTCACTCACTGGGGCAATCACAGCCCGAACTGTATCCTCATTGGGCCCAATTAGCACCCTCAGCGTCACTAATGGCTGCCAGAGAGCCTTTTAGTCTCCAGGCTGTTACTGACACTTCTCCTCATCTGCGTATGAAAAGGAGGCACATTTTTCAGGGAGTTAAATATGCTTTTAAAGTGGAAGTGAAGCAGTCAGTCAAGGTAACAGTATTTAGAACAATAAAAACAATAAAAAACACGATTAATGTAACCATTTTAAAGAAAAAAGGATGTTTTGTTATAGCTTTTGGAGCAAGAGTGTTGCCATCTTGCAGTACCACAGCATGTGACGTCACGGGGTTGGTTCGCTCCATTGGCCAGTGCAGTAATATAAGCATTTCTTTACTTTTTGAACTCACAAATGTTTTTGAAATGGAGGAAGACAAACTTGAAAGGACTGTTGAGCCCATAATAATTGCAATTGCTTATGCATTTGAGCCGATTCGGTGAGGAGACTGAGCAGTAATACCATTACAGGTGGAAGAAGTCGTGAACCTGCTGGTTTGGGGTGAAGAGCGGGTGGGAAACAATACGTGTTTACATGAATACTTGTCAAAGCTGCCATTCTGACATAATTTTGTATGCATTTGCTCAAGAAAATGTGAAAGAGAACTCAATTTGGTACTTGCGTGCTGTCTGAGCTGTGGCTTTTTGTGTGCGTGCGCACAGAAACGAATTATCACAGCGCGCGAGTACCGCATTGAAAGCTCTTTCGTGCTGTCTCGTGCTTGAATGGCTTAAAACACTTTAATGTTTAAATTGACAAGACTTAAAACACGTGAGAATGATAAACTTTCTTGAGGAAGCAGCACTAGCCCAATCGTTCGGATCAATCTGATTAGATTTATCGTCCTGTTAACATGCAGCAGGTAAGCTAATTGTATGGGTGAACATAAAATACATGCCACTACTGGTGAACGAGCCAGTGTAATGCAGATATGTCTGAAAGGTCTGCCATATCAATAAAGATGCCACATGAATGATATTGAATGAAGCGTTGTTTGTTTACATCACGTTGCGCCTCGCGTTATGAAAACAATGTTTGGGATACCACAATCAAAACTTAGTGATGTAGACAGTTTGATGTTGGATATTCATTAAAATTATGTTGAAAACCAAAAACATTTGTGTGTTAAAATAATATTTGTGTCTTCAAAAAGTAAAGGAATGCTTGTATTACTTCACTGGCCAATGGAGCGAACCAACCCTGTGACGTCACACGCTGTGGTACTGCAAGATGGCGACACTCTTGCTCCAAAAGCTATAACAAAACATCCTTTTTTCTTTAAAATGGTTACATTAATCGTGTTTATTGTTTTTTTATTATTAAAGTGGGAATCAGTTTACTAAATAATGTAAACTTGACTGACTGCTTCACTTCCACTACATGCAAAATCACTACATGCAAGACACTACATGCAAAGACACTACATGCAAAATCATTTTGAGATTTTGGGCTATTATATATTTGTTTATGATGTGTTGTTTCAGACTAGTAGAAAGAAAACAACCAAAAAACACGTTTAAGTGTACTTTATCCATGCACTTTATCCATTTGTGTCTGTAGATTTCAATTACAGTTTTCCATTGCATACCAAAAGTAACAGAGCACCCAGAAATAAAGCCAGCCACACTTGATGTTTTTTGGAAACTCTTGCCGTTTGTTTTGTGATACGGTTCACACAGTCCATGAATAATCTATGTGCTGTTTATGGTTCACCGAGAGCATTGTTGCATGTTTCCAATAATTTGTCTGTCCACACTGAATGACGTGACAATCAAAGCCGAATGGAACATATTGGATGGTTAATATACAGCCGTTTGCATCAGTGCATTTTACTGTGGGCGGGGCTACAAAGGCACTCACCAATGAGCCAAAAAAGCTAATATTTCTTGACTGACATCGTTAGGAAAACCCAGAATATTAAAATACTTATAGCCTTGATAGAGACTTGTGGCATTGAAGGGTGCTTTTTAATTTACATGTATTGTATCACATTGCTCTCTTGAAAGAGGCGATTTACTGATCTTTGAAATGTCCCTTCAGCGGCCTGTTTTGTTGGCTGTATATGTCAATAAAATGACTGATTAGTCCGATAACCATCTGGTTTTCTGTTGCAGGGCGGAGATGGTGCTGGGCAACATCATCAAGAAGAAAGGATGGAGGTATGTTCATTAACAGCATACAGCTTTTCGTTTCCTTCAGCCGTCTCTTATCTTGTGCTGATAACTCGGCCCAGTGCCTCAGAGATTGTGTCATCGCAACCCCAGACAGACAGAAATATAAATTATTAAAGGCCCGTAGATGTCCCATCTAGATATTGAATTATGAAAGGGTTGCATGGGTGTGTTTGTGGTGCATCTGATGTCCTGATATATTTGTGTGTAACATAACACGAGCTAAAGGAAGTTCATGGTTAATAGAAGCCCTTTTGTTAAGATGTTTTAATTTAAAGCAGGGTGGGCTCTCACTGTTTTTGCATAATGAGATGAAGAGGAACCAAGCTCTCTGCAGGAAAAGATCTTCACATTTTTTGTGTGTGTGTGTGTGTGTGTGTGTGATAGCGTGCTGCTTAGTCATCCTGCTAGTCAGTGTGCATCAATATCAGGGCACACAACCCCTCACCTCTGCAGAGACATAGTTTATTTCTGTCCTCTGTGTGTGGGCTTACTTATAGTTTGTGAGAGGAAGTGAGCTACAGTAAATCTGATAAATAAAGTAAATCTTCCCTTTGAGGAAGGATATTCTTAATGGTGTGTATATATACAAATTTGTAAAAATATATAATACATACAGTGCTGGGTAGATTACTTACAAATTGATTACTTTTGACCTAACTCGTTTATCACATAGACTTGAATGGGATTATTGTGTACCATAATGATAAAAAAAAAAAAAAAACTGTACTATGTCCTCATTTAGTCAGCTAAATAAACCTGTATGTGAATGTGTGTACATGCATTCCTTTGAAATTAAAATGGTTACCGCAAGCTATTATTCTGTTGTAATTATTTGCAACTTCTTAATTACTTTTTAAAAGCCTTTCAAAAAGTGTGACCTAATTAAAAACTATTTTCCTTTTTTTGCAGACGCTCCAGTTTAGTCATAACAACCAAAATATTTTGGGGTGGAAAGTATGTATATTTAATATGAATTATAAAATGAATCATGGCATGATGCAAATAATACTTCTGAAGCTTTAAAGTTTACCAAAGAGCTACAAGTTTCACTTATGAGTTAGGATTAAATGATGTATCTGTTGATTTTTAGTTTTGGTAAATGAACACTGAAGTCTTTGAAATAGTGTTATATTTTGAATTGAATAAAATATTATGGCCTCAATTCTAATATTAAATCAAGTAGTCTTTGCAATATAATTTGCTAAAGTTGGTGTCAGTGATAATTGCATAACCGTACATATCCTGCTGTTTTCTAGAGCAGAGACCGAGAGAGGACTGTCAAGAAAACACATTATAGAAGGTGAGTGGACCTCAGACATACACATTATAGAGCAGTAGTTAACCGAACTGGTTTAATTTTGTGCTGAATTGATTTGTGTTAGGTTTGAAGGCATCATTGGAGAGATTGCAGTTGGAATATGTGGACGTGGTGTTTGCAAACAGACCAGACCCCAACACACCCATGGAAGGTACATCTCAATCTCAATTCATTTGCTCTCATTGCTTAAGGTATTAAACCTTAGTGTAACTCGTACCGTCCTGTTTGTGCTCCAGATATAATTGATTCCTCAAATCACGTGTAAGCAAGATCTTTTCAATTTGCCCAGTTGGCCTTTTGTAAGTCGCCAACCTGAATTAAATCTCAACCAGTGTTTTCGGGTGAAAGGTCGGCTGCTCTGTAAGAAACAAGGCAGAGATGTTATTTGATCTACTTTTATTAGCCTAGCTGCCCTTTAGAATGTTCACACAGTTCAATGGTTGAAACGCAAACAGCTCGGGGGTCTGTAGACATCTGCTGTTCTTGTCATTAAAGAGCTCGGCACTTCAATAGTCTGTTTCTCTCGTGTGTTTTTAGACAGATCTCATATAGTTAAGCGGGAGCAGTAAATGACTCTCTAGCTCAGAAGAATGATGTTTTGACACGGCTGGTGTTGGTTATTAAGGATGGATCTTTCCCAGCCCTCATTTGAAGCATTGTTTTCCTTGAGCTGAGATTCATATTGACCCGAAGCACTAGTTGTTTATTTTGTCTTACATATATTGATTAAAATTCTCCAACTTGATCTAGAAGCGATTTATCATTTAAACTCCCCACCCTTGCATTAATCTAGCTTGTTTTCTTTTACTCATTAATATTTCACATGTTCACCCATACTGACACGTTCTAATGGCGTCGTGACATGATGTATGGTGCGGTAAATCACTGAAAATCTGCGGTCTGATTGACAGAGACGGTGCGGGCGATGACCCATGTGATCAATCAGGGAATGGCAATGTACTGGGGAACGTCACGCTGGAGTCCGATGGAAATCATGGTGAGTCACAGTCTCCTAAACTTTGAGATGTTCGCATCCCTGCAATCAGCATCAGCACCGGCTGCTTTTGTTCCTGAAGAGCCCTTCAAGAAGACTTGATGAATCTAAAGATGCTTGTTTAAATAGGTGCTGTCAGTGAGACAGTCTAACCTTAAATACTGGGCGGATCGGACACCTAAAACAGCACCGCACTGAGACAGACGAACCGTTTCACAGTGACAGAATGTTTAAAGACGATCTGTTGTTTGTGTTCAGTGACGCCTCGTCAGTCACAACTCATTTGTCTAGTTATGCTTACTGAGGCGTAACATGCTGTACAGAATTCAGTTTTCTGTAGCAACGCCCCATAATTGGTCCTTAGCAGGGGTTGCCTTAACCGAAAATGTTCTGCCATTTACCAAAATTTCCAAACATTGACAGATAAATCGAAAACCGTTCTGTTGTTTTGACAGATAAAAAGGTGTCTGGTCTATTGCATTTCTCTACTATAGAAACATTCCCACAGAAGTGGCTGCTAATTGAGATTTTAAGGATAATAATGTATAATAATACATTCTAAAGTGCCCAGAGGGAAATAAAAAGAGAAGTGAGGATTTGATTCAAGTGTAGTCTAGGGGAATTTTGTTTATTAAATCAGACAAAATAGGGTTTGTCATATAATTAAGGAAATTTGCACCAGGTACCAGATTAACGCCAATAACTTGAAGGTATCTGTAACTGTTCTCTAATTTTGATCAGAGTTCTTTTTCAAATGTCTAATTTGAATTTGTTATACTTTGCAGAATTCAGAATACAATTATTTGATGAAATAAATTGCCCTTCTACTCCTAGGAAAACTTCAAACAGGTCTAAGCAGTGAGCTTGAAATTTAGGAAATTGTTGGTTGTTCTCTAATTTTGATCAAAGACATTTGTGAATCGTTGTCTTTTTTTATTATTATTATTATTTCTTATTTCTTTTCTTTTTTTCCTCCACCATTGCATTCATTTCAGACTATGTTTTGCAGTTTAGTTTCAGTAAATGGTCCGGGTGGACTGAAGAGGGATTGTTGAGTTTTGTCACATTTCATTAAGAAAAGAGCATGAGAATTCCAGTTTTCCATGATTTGACCTTTTTTAAGTTCAGTTTTTGGTCGAGTGGCGCTACGTTCATACATAACACTGACCTTATCATTTTGCTCATGTTTTGTAGGAAGCGTATTCTGTGGCCCGACAGTTTAACCAGATCCCACCCATCTGCGAACAGTCAGAATACCACATGTTCCAGAGGGAGAAAGTGGAGGTGCAGCTTCCTGAGCTCTTCCATAAGATCGGTGAGTGATGCTGCTGTCAGTCAAGCCTGCAGAAACAGTGACCAGATTCGTCTTTTCAACCGGTTTTGACCTGTCTTCTCAGGTGTGGGTGCGATGACATGGTCCCCGCTGGCCTGTGGGATAATCTCAGGGAAATACGACAGCGGGGTGCCGCCATACTCTCGCGCCTCACTGAAGGTACTACATATCCCATGAGTCTCCCTGTCTCCTCCTCTTCCTGGTCCTGGTCCTCTGGAAACATTAGTGGCCTCATATGTGACTCCTTTGTGTTCGGTGTTCTAATGTGAATGTGTTCCGTGTCTTCCAGGTTCTATAGTTGGTGTTTTCCTGTAGATGTGTTTTGTTGTTGATGGCATGAATCCACACACCTGATCTTCAACATATATTTCTTTATGTGAATGAGTTTCTATGGTAACTCTGAGGAGGATTGGCACTTGTTTTATCAGTGTTTGCATCTCTTTCAAGCACACTTAACCACACACACAAGTGCACAGTAAAAGCACCCGTTTCTCGAGCTGTATGTTGGCGTAGTGGCATGTTTTTTGGCTCGTTGGTGTTTTTGTGACCCATCATCTTCCTCCTGTAGTCTTGTGTCACACTGTGAATCATTCCTGATTTCTTGTTACCTCTGTGTAACGTACATGTGGATTGACACTGGACTATAACAGAACCGTGCTGGTGGTCTGAACAGTGATGGGTCCGCTGGATTCGGAGACCCGTGAGTGTTTAGATCACTAGACCACACTGGTCCTTTTCCACTGTTGATTAATATTTACTAATGAAGGACCTGAAGCTGGATTATTTATCCTGGTCTAGCACACACACAAACACGCGCTATTGCTGTTCAGAACAAATTATCTTAGAATTAGTTTTTACTTTAAAGTCAACATGAAGTCAAATTCGGACATTTACTTAATTTTTTCATCATTAATAATTTGCTTCACTTCTGAAATGACTTTACTTTTTGGGTGATGTCTACTGTTGGTTAATGAATTGGTTAACTAATAGCCAAGTAGCTCTGTTATTTTAGTATTATTTATGTACTATTATAGTAATTATTCATAGTAATTAGCTTTTATTTATATATCTTCAGTTTTCATTTTAATTTAAGTTTTAGTAATTTTATGCGATTTTTTTTTTTTTTTTTTTTAAATATGTCTATTCATTTTTATGTCTTTATTTCACTTGAACTTTTAGTAATTTTAGTAGTTTAACTTAAACATTTATTTCAGTTAGTTGCCAAGACAATGCTTTTTTTTTTCCCATTTAATAATTATATTTTATTTTACTTCATTTAAATTAAAGTAAACAATTTTTAATAGTTTTAGTTAACAATAACAACACTGGTCTGTTTTAAGCTATTATTGTAAATAATGCAGCCTTTGTAAAACATTGCCATTTTTACAGTAATTTACTTCTGGTTAATGCTAATTCAGTAAAGATACAGCAATAATATCTGTTATGATAAGACTGAAAAAGAATTGCTACCATTGAGATACATGGAGATTCTGTTAATTTCAATTATGAATATTAATTCATATATTTAATATGCATATTAAATCATATTCACTCATTTCACTTGGAAATATGGCACATTACCAAATTCAGTGAGTTGCAAATGTGTTTCATGTTGACTTTAAACTGATAGATGATGAAATTGAAATTGATGATGTGTAATTTTTAATTTTTATCAACTGAATAAGTTGTTACTGTCAAAAACTTTTCATGCATTATATAGCATGAACTCATTTATACTACACAACTTTCTCAGAAGTCATTTCAAACTGATCATGTTTGTGAGTGTGTGTATAAGGTCTCTTTACCCCCTAAAGTTCTCTGAGCGAGTTCATCTCTGCTCCTTTGAGCTTTTGGGTGGACAGAGTCACATGTTTAAAAACAGGCCCTCGCCCACACAGGTGCTGCTGGGTGTTGTGTGTGTGTGTGTGTGTGTGTGTGTGTGTGTGTGTGTGTGTGTGTGTGTGTGTGTGTGTGTGTGTGTG